CGAGTGAAACCGTACACTCTGTGCTAGTAAGAAAAAAGATCGCGTGAAACCTCGCCTCACTAGTAGTAGGTACCTACTTCAATTAGATTCATTATTCCATATCGTGTAAAAATGCACAACACATTTACAGTAGAGCGGTCTCAATGAACATAAAAAACAAAACTGGTTGAATTTACATAACAATACCCTTTTGTCAACATTAATAACAAACACATATTTAACGAACGCAGTGAGGTGCAACGATCGTGATCACTACATAAACGGCGGTGCAAAGTATAAACATTAAATAGTGAAACAAAAACAAATTTAAGAGACGCGTTTAATTATCTTTATCGTGCCCTTTAAGAGCTGCGATTGGACAATTGATTGCATCGCGTTGAAGATGATTGGATGTAATTTACGATGGCGCGATAACCGCACCTTTGGTCATTGGGCAACTTGATAGATTGAGTCACAGATAGACGCCACGAAACTCGTTAAGACTATCGTTCGATGCAGACGCAGAGCCGAGGTCGTTGCGAACTTCAATTGGACTTCCGTCGCTAATGTGACTTGGGATGTGCTCCATTTGTTTTGTGTCGTTGACATTATGGACCATTACTTATTGATAAGTACATTGACAGAAGTTCGCATAGTTTAACAAATCTACACTAATAATGAATAATATGAGCATAAAGTTTGACTTCAAAGCCAATGTTAGTGTCAAAATCTGATATGCGAAATACGCAAGGAATTTTAGCTCAAAATCTGATTTTTCTATGAATAATTTGATTGTTAGCGCTAGGCTTTGCAGTCAAGATGAAACTTATAATGCGATTTTTCGTAGATAATGCACAGAATATTTCAGCGGTGCGAGATCCGCAAAGCGTCTGGGCGCATTAGCATTTCAAGATCAGATCCTTTAATGGTGTTTTCCTTTAACACACATTTAAAACAACAATAGTAACACTTAGGGACAGTTGTATAATTTAACTACGAAATACACTTCAACCAAACAAAAATTAATAATCTAAAAGTGCTTTACTTCTAAATCGCTAGGCTTCCACGAATATGAGAAGCACCATGATGGAGAAAGTGGCAGGGACAAAATGCCAGTATTCACGATAATTCTCGTAAGAAGGCTAATTGCGTAACGGCGACACTCGATCACGGCAACCTCACATTACCACGTCGATGCACGAACGAGCCCCGATAAAAGTGAGCCTTTATCTCGGATGAGCAAACAATGCGCCGCCGAAACACCGGCTCGGGCGGTCGTGTAGTCAAACATTCATGATCTTAATCGGCGTAGTGGGAACAACGCAGGCCTGTTCATCGGATAAATATGGACGCGTTTAGTCACTGTTTACCGAACGCGTACTAAGGCGTTAGCCGTTAAACGGAGACACAATGAGTTTGAGTTTGGGCCGCTTAAAGAAGCGAGTTGAATAAAAAAAGGGGGAGACTATCGGACGGTGAGCGCTGCAACCTGGGAGGTCCGAGAGAGCGGATTATCCAAATTAAAAGCATGCCTACTAAACATAGTAGCGCCACCAGCCGGCGATGGGCATGTGACTAATGATTTCGGGATGCATTAAAATGCCTCAGCCGTCGACTTGACAAGATGCATTGTCCACATTCGTGAGCTTTCCAATTTGTCAACGGCAGAAGAATATGTCTTTACAGATACGAAGGGGCATGGAAAACAAAGACAATGTTTTGGTTAAACACAAATAGCTACGGACGCAGTGGTCTAATCCATTATAAATACAAAGTCAGCGATTCTGGTAATTTTAATGTGAAGAAAATAAATTCTTCACGGTGATTCAGGAGGTAAAACTTGAGTAACGGATAATAACATATTTACTTACTACATTGCCTATTAGCTGATGCCTTGTTAGGTATGGTATAAATAACACATTGTCGGTTTTTGAATAGCTCATTACACATCATGGCTTTGATCTTTCATGCCATTAGTCTGGCACCACCTCCAAATTGATCGCCCTTTGTGTGAATCACAATACATTCAAAACATCATCACAATCGGACGCCTAACTATATACAGATGTAAAGTTCTCTTAAAATGTCGATGAATACATATTGAAGCTATTCGTAATATTATAACGTTGACGTTGACAAAGTTAAAAAGGTTCAAAAACAGAACGCAAGGAATTCTCACTCATGGATATGTCCATTTTAACTTTGTTTCCTATATAAAGTTTTAACTTTATATTAATTTCGCTATGTCAATACAGCGTGAACCCAGAACCTCCTAAGAGAAAAAGACAAAGTGGCATAGTGAACATTTATCTAATTTTACTCGGCCATCAATTTTTCAGTATTTCCACGTTGTAAGTTCGGAACCATCGGATAATGTTCTGGATGCTATGAAGGGCTCAACTCTACCTCACCAAGATGTGTGTGTGTTCAATAGCTCTGCTAAAACAATTTTCCGCGGTATATACCGCGGTGAGTACCGGATTGGTACTCACCCTCGTTCTGGTTTTTGTCGTCCGGCAAAGAAACTACGTGCATAGATCTCACCATAGCTCATTGTGATTGACCGTTTGACGAGATGCGTTAGAAGGGCTCCCAATAGATGAACCAACATAGTAAGAGTCGCAGGCAACCGGTGGATGCAAATGGCAATGTCTCGTCGTTATTGTATTCAAGTTCTAAGGGGGCGACCTTTGTTCAACATGGGATGTCTACCGGCTCATAGTAACGTAGAACTTGGATTTATTATTTAGGATTGGATTTTTTATTTCAAATAGATCTGTACTGCTCCCTATATTTATATTGTTTAAGATGTGTTTAAGACTGGTCTTGCAGGGGACCATCGTATTTCTCGAAGATGGGGCTACACTTTACGACGGAGTAGGATAAAGTAGGCTATTTTACATACACTTAACTACAAGTTCTCGAAGAAAATAAACTTTACATTCAATATAACTATTATTTGTTACTAAAACTTGTGCTACCCTGTTAAGAAGATGCATGTTATATTTACATATGGACATAATTATATTTACATATTATATCACGCAGTCATCTCAAAGTATTTTTTGTAAACTGATATTTTTGCTACCAGTCCGTAGAATATTGCAAACCTTTATAAGACATCTAATATATATTAAAAATAACACTAAACTCTTGCATACTAATATAATCTGCAATATTTCAGCGGGACCGTTTTGTGACCCAACGTCAGCTTAAGGAATTCTGTTTTTACAATATCATTAATCAAAAAAGTCAGTTTCCGCCCTCGTAGCACAATTTTCACTAGAATTCCGCATTAAGAATTCCATTCTTTTACGAAGTACGACGCTCACGTTTTCAAAGAACAGGGTTAGGTAATAAAACTCATACTTCTAGACTATGCAGATTGTAGCATAATGTATTTAGTACAAATTTGTTTCGTGAGACCTAGAAAGTTCTTGCGGCTCACGTGCCTTTCACAAGGCTCATAAGTAAACTAACTGCATTAATATTAATATTATACTTAACGAGTTTTGCATAAAATTATGAATTACTATTATGAATTATTATTGGCACACTATCGGTATTTTTCTTAATATTAGAATGTGGCAAGCGAACTTGCCGTTCACCTGCTGTTAAGTAAGGTTGCAGGTAGCAAAGGCGTTGCTCCTCGTCCAACATTCAATTTTCCATTCGAGTCCCCTTTATCGTATCGTATCATTCAACCTACAAGTAAGAGAACTGATTAAGCGAAGCTGCATATTCGCTAAGCAACAAAAACTCCGTAATGTGAAGAAAACAATCTTACAACAAAAAACGCGACAAAATCAAACGTACGCTGGTGGTGACAACGTCATTGAGTTCAATGAAAACGAAAACTAGCAAGTCATCGGATAAGATTCTAAGCTAGAATTCGGGACAACTGGCTATAAAGAATAAAAGGGATTCCTTCCACATTATTTTATTTCAACTTTTAAAAAAAAATTAAGAAGGAATAATAAACGCTTTTACATGAATTTTACTGATCTTACAGTTGTCGTTTACCAGCTACGAAAGACAGCAATTTGAATACCACATCAAAATGTACATACATTTCCTTGGCTTCCACGGGCTGACATCGTAGAATTGAAAAATGTACATTTTATTTATTGAAAACTAGCGAACGCCCCGCAATGTTTCTTATATAATAGATATTTCTTTATAACGCTAGGATATATTTATAAAAAAACAAATTTATTACAATATAAAAAGTTTTAATGTAACATAGCGCCCGACGCTTTTCTTTTGGGTTCATTTGAAAACACAACTTAGCAATGAGCGGTGACCATAAGTCAAAACAAAAGTGATCTAATCACAAACACGTCATGCAAACCTAATATTCTCGGCCGCACTTCACAGTAACAGTTCACAGTGTTTACGTACGAAAGTCATTGTTTCGAAGACTAATAGTATCGCGATATAAGCAACATCCATCAATCTCACAACATTTGCTAAAGTCACTTTATTCCATTGTGACTGCCATTCGGCCTTCGTAACGCGTTGTTACCTACCTATGCAGAAGGTCTACGTTACACGTGGACTACCAAACGGAAAATTCGTCAGAATCGATCGTATACAATTTGTACATTCTCACCACGCGCAAGGGAACGATCGTACAATCCCCAAGGACGTTGAACAATGGCCGGGAGAGGTGATTTGCATAGCACGAGTACACATATTCGGCACATTTGCATGCCCACAGCGAGCGGTGGCGTCGGCAGCCAGGTGTAGACGCGTCGCTTATGTAATTGCTGAACCATAATCGGCGTTGCGAACAATAATCATTCAAATTCAAATAACGAACCGCCGAATTGTCGCCACGACGCTAATTTATCGTGGCTAGAGTACGGCGCCTTGGGTGTCACAGCCGAACGAAACACGTGTTGCGGCCGACACCATAAACTCTGCGGCGTTCAACAGTGACAAACCGTGCGAACGGATTTTTCGAAACTCCCGTTCCCGCATGAAATAGAGGCCTGTGGACGAACTGGCGTTATACTCACTTCCAGCCGGTGGAGTATCTCGAAAAGAGCCATATTTCGTTGCTGTGCGGCCGAAAACAATGGCACCGTTTACGCGCCCGCTGACAGTTGCACGGCCTCTGCAAGGGAGAACTCCAATGAAAATTTTAAATTCACCTGAAGAACAACGAACAAAGGGAGTGAGATTTATGGCTGAAAAAGTTTCTATCCAGGCAAACGATAGCACTTTTAAAAACAGTTCCGTAAAGTAATCAAAGTTATTTTTAAAAGAATATTGTAATTTTTGCATTTACATTATTAGTGTTATTACATTAATCGTATTTTTACAGATAACACCTAAGGATAAAACAGAAATCGACACTGTATAGCTTAATATAATCCTAAATGGGTGGAATATGTTCTGAGATAATTTGTTCATGTAGATTATAGATAGATCTGCCATTTGCATCACATTGAGACGAACTTATATGTGCCGCAAATAAAAATGGATCAAATTAATGAAAAACCAAGGGTAACGCGTAAAAAGTGAAACTTTTAAAAAGCATACCAAAGCCACTTGTGAATAGGGACTCCTACTGAAATAAATAAAAACGTAAAAGCCAGATGTTCATTTACAGTCGTATAATATTAAAAAAAATACTTTAGGTTTATACGGTAGGGTGACAGCTACGTATTTAAATAAGTATAGACAAAAAGAGCCTTTCAAAATTCGAAACAACATTTATGGCGGTTTAAATGCGATACACTTCCGCCCACTTTTAAAATAGAAGGATGCGAGCATCAGCTAATTTTCAATAGAGAACGTGTTTGGTCATAACAACGTCCCACACATCCTATTTTATTTGGAGACATTATTTGAAAAAATAAAACTACCAGCGTAAGAAATACACGTGGTGGGAATTGATTGTTTTGTATCTTAACAACTAGCTGAAAATATAAGCACAGCCTTGTTGTAGGTTATGATGATTTTAGAACACACGGTTCATTATGAATTTATTAAGCCGTTATTCGGAGCAAAGGGAAAGTACCAATTGAATAACAGCTATAAGAGACCTTATGTTGTAAAAAAAATTAAATATAAATGCGCAGACGAAGAATATTTGGACACGACGAAAGGTTTAGAGAAAAGAAAACTGGCAATAAAAATAATAATAGATCAATAAAGTTAACCCAAGGATGATCCGTTACGAGTATTGCGATAAAGAAACATCCCATTTTCAACATTTTGAACGCTTTAATGGACATACATCAATATTCCCTTGGAAAACGGTTAGAGGAAAAAACAGTGATAGTCGGGCAGATCAACAATTAATTTTCAGATATACATATAAAGAAATTTATTTTTAACACTGGCAGGACGTCTGAAAAAAACATCCTCGAGTTGGATCAAAACTTATATTCCAGATGTAACTTAAAGCCCTGTAACGGCAAAGTCAATTCATAAACAAAAGACAGTCGCTCGAAACTAATGCCACATACAAGTTTTCCCCATTCGCATACTAAGCGTGAATGAATAAAAGATTGAAAGTACAAGACACCGCGTGTAAAGTGCGGAATAGTATTTTGTGACGACAGTTAATCAGATTAGGGCCACGCAACAGCTTCTGCTGTTGCATGAATGGGCAAGCTCATCCGGGAAAGTGCCACGGCCTCACAGAAGACCGGCGTAAAGTGGAAGTACTAAACTTTCGCGTTTCGTCTGGTGAGTGAGGTAAACCGGGGCCTCCTTTTTTAAGGGATATGCCATCGGGATTTTGTAGATGTTCATGGGCGGCGCAATTCATTTAACAGTTGACCTGCTCGCTTGCTCGCCTACTGGCTAAAGTGGAAATATTTAGAAAAAAAATGTTCACACATTACGCAATGTGTTATGGATTATTGACTAAAAACTTTTTGAAGTGTCTCACTATTTTAATGCCGTGATGGGTTATACTCGGGGCGTGTACACCACAAGCTTAGACTTACTACCCACATCTAAAACCTTTGTAGTACACACATATGTTAAATCAAGAGGGATATAGTAGGAGAAAAAGGAAAATCGACTTCGTAGTTGTTGAATAATTTGAAATACAATTTAAAACTTATTTCTCTTCTACTTCAAATTAATAAGTATGTTCATTGATCGTAATTAAATTATGCAAATTAGAATAATTTAATATTTAAGAAGTACACAAGAGATTACAAAATGGGTTTTGAAGTTGGAACGGAAAATCTGTTGTGATCAAACTCTAAGCAAACATTACAACTACCTTCGATGTTTGTTTAGGTCTGTTTGAATTCGTATATTGTTCGCTGGGTGTTAAAACGTGGTGCTGCGAAAGACGCTTAACTACACTAAACACTTCTTATAATAGATAAAAAAAATATTTAAATAAAAACATTTTCTTATTGCATAATTGCAGCAGTTAAGGACATTTACATTTGGAAGTTATAAATTATATTTCAAACACTCCGTTTATGGGACACGTTGTTCCATGTGCTTGTGCCCAAAGTTGTAAACAGCTTTAATCCCATTGTCTCATATTCGTCCTTTTTTTCTCGAGAGCGTCTACGTGGTGAGATCCTTAATGAGGCAAATTAGAATATTAATACTCGGCTCCAGGAAGTAAACACATTAAAACGCCGGCACATGTTGTCGCGTACAAGATTGGAAGTCATAACGATGTCCCATCCGCAAACGTTACAAAACAATGAGGTTCTTAAAGTACAAAACGTTAAAACAATCGAGAATATTCGTTCACACACTATGAGGAACGTATAAAATTGAATAAACACGAGATAACAATACAATACAGATCGGCATCGATAGCGTTCTCGCATACTAAGAAGGGCCGCCTCAGGTACGGAACCACCTTTAGTGTGCATGTGACAGTGAAACCCTCATCTTTCAAGTTTGCTAGAACTCAAAAGCTAACATGGAGAGACAGACTACAAACTTTTTATATTGGCGACGAGTAAACACGAGTCGATAAGAGACAGAAATGACAAAGGATAGTTGGTTTCAAAATTAAAATGAATTTGTAACAATGAAAAGCACACCAGCAGTGTAAACAAAACCGTATAGTCACAAGTAAAATGTGGTAGATGTACGGACGTTTGTAACATTAAGGATTGCTTTTGTCTGAATAGATGATATCATTTATTAAAAATCGCGCGATGGTCCTCACTGACCGTCAGTAGCAGCCGCTTACTAAGCATTGTTGACAATTTTCGCTTTTAATTAATAAAAAATATTATTAAATTTTACTTGCGGTAAACTTATGTCTTCTGCCTTAAGACTGTAAATGACATTATTTGAAGGGCAAACCAACTGGTCGGACCATCTCGTCGCCGGGTTTGATGCTGATAATAATGTACAATATTATATCATTCAAATAGGCTATAGAGGATTGTGAAAGGAAGGAAAATAACATATTCTCAACAAATAAAAGAAAATGTCCTGAAAGTGCTTATAAAGTATTTTAGATAGCACGCCCAATGATTGGCATTAAACGGTGAAATAGAACGGTTCTATACAATATTCTAGCCCTATGATTCCACCTTGGGTTCGATTTCCGAATGTAATTTTCTGGGTTTGAACATTTGCCAAATGTTCTATTCGAGCCAATAACTCAGGGTAACTAAAAATCAATGTTTACAGCTTTAAAGAATATGTAATTCACACAGTTGATATATAAGATTAAAACACCTTTCAATAAATCTTACACTAGTATGCATTATCAAACAAAACATAGGCAAAACATGAAGATTTCTGGGAATTCTTTAAATCTAAATATAAACGGAATATGTGAAATCTTACAGTCATCTCCCTCTCTGGAATACAGATTTCCTTGAAGTCTTGAACAACCAGCAAAGCGGAATTAAAACTATTTTTATGATTTCATAATATAAGATCACCGTTTAATTTGAAAATATTATTTATAACTATATGCATTCCTTCATTTCTTCATACAATTGAACGATTTTGTTTTTATGTGAGGTGGCAAGGAGCTGGCGGCTCACCTGATGGTAAGTGATAATCATCGCCCATAGAGTAGCGAAAACCGAGGTGAGTTAATGAACCGAATTTGCTTTCCATCACATTCGACGAACTTTTTGACCGCTCCTCGCGTATGGTCATAACTGCTAGACTGATTTTGCCTATAAGAAATGCGAATCACAGCAAAGCCTTTGATGCTGGTCCCTGTAATTCCAAAAGGCCACGCTTAAACTGCAAGTCGAGAAGACGTTCAAGCCCCTATGCCATCATTAATATTTTTTATCTCACCACTACACCATTAATAACTTTTGTAAACTACCCTCCTAATTACATTTTCACGGCAATAAAATCCGGCAGCCCGTAGCAGCTGTCGACAAGATGATGGACGAAAAAAAATTAAGCACCAATGGCTCTACCCGCAGCTCTACAACTGGAACATATGGCGCTGCTCTGCTGCCAATAACATATTGCAGGGGCAGGATTCTGCAGCGTTATTCATTTAGTATCACGCAGCCACACGGATTGTGAGATGGACGTTATGTCCAATTCATCATAAACGCGCCGATTGAATGAGAATTTTGCTTAAATAAAGCGCTCATTGTTATGCTATAACATATCTCCGTCCTCTGACCCCACGTACGCTCCGTCAGCTCCGTTTTAGTTGTTTATTTAATCACTAGAGCAAGTCCATTCTGCGTTGGTGGTCCGGTCGCAGACGGGATACAAGCCACGCAATAAGTGCGAACTGGGCCGAGTCTGCTATTTTATTTTTCAATTAATATTTTTGTCGCAAATGAATGTGACGATATTTGCTTAATCAGTTTCTATTACACATGACCCGTTGACATTCATGCAGATATGTTAATCTTAATAGTTTAATACGAAACTTTATTTTTAATATAGATAAAACAGAGCGCGGGATCATTTATTTATAACATGAAACTCATAACCAACACTATTTGCCGAATATCCGTAGGACAACTACAGAACAATTTAATAAATATAAACCGTACATGTATATATATCGACCAAAGGGAAGTGAGATCATGGTTGAAAATTTTTCATTGAAATAAATTCCATAAATAACTAAAAGAAAAATAAATGGCTCACTCGCTCTCTCCTGTGAGACGGGGTTTTTCG